AGGGGGAAGAGGGACTCAGCCCAACCTCCTTTCCCTGGCTTCACAGGGTGAGGAACTGCAGGGCCTCAGCTAGGGTCAAGTGGAGAATTCAGGGGTTGTGAGGCTGGATCCAGGTTCAGGCCATTCTGTAAGGTCTGCCCATGTGTCCCTGCTGAGCAGACAACACGCCTTCCACCTTCCCTTGACTCCTCACCTTTGCCAGGGAGCCCTCCTTCCCAGAGGGAGGCAATGAAAGGTTCCCTGGGGTTGAAAGCCTGAGTCAGACCCACCGAAAACACCGTGGCTTCAAAGTACAGAGAGGGTGTGCGTGAACGTGTGTGTGTGCACGTGTGTATGTGGGGTGAGGGTGCGTGGGTGAGTGTGTATGTGGGGTGAGTGTGTGTGGGTGAGGGTGTATGTGGAGGAAAGTATGCATGTGTGGGTGAAGGTGTGGGGGTGCTATGATTTCAACCATAATAAGGCTGACACTTCCGGGTTCTAGGGCCATGCTTGTGCAGACAAGCCCTCAGGCAGAAGTGGCCCCAGGGATGTTAAAGGGCCCCAAGTGACCCACATATGACTCAGCTAAGCCCTTGTGCGCTTGCATGAGCCCCGTTATCTGTGTATAATGTAGTCATGTCAACTTCCTGTGCGCATGCGCTAAGCAACTTTTAAAAGCTGGACACACCATCTTCTCTCTCTCTCTCTCTCTCTCTCTCTCTTTCTCTCTCTCTCTCTCTCTCTCTCTCTCTCGGCACATTGACTTCCCACTGTGCACGCCCCCTCTAATAAACTTCTAAGCGGGTTTGTTGCATGTTCCTTGTTGCATGTTCCGTGTTTCCTTCTCACTTGTACCAGGTAATTTCAGAGGGGCTGTGTGTGTATGAGGGAGTACGTGTGGGGGGGTGTGAAGACATGTGGGGGTGGAGGGTGGGCTTTGGGGAGGGTGTGTGAGTGAGGGTCGGGTCGGGTGGATGTGTCTTCTCTACAGTTGGTTCTGTCCCCCTTCCTCCCTTCTCTTGGAGGGAACTGGACTTCTAATTTCCCCACAGATGGGGTCTCTCTTCCACCCCTCGCTTGAGACCCTTAAAGTTTCAATGTTCTCTTGAAGACAAGAGGCGTGGCCTCCGCACTTCTGCTCAATCACTCCTAGCTAGTGGGGAAGAGTCTACCAGAAAGATCTCTTGGTGAGGAAAGAGAAGACTAGGCCCTTCCACAATCTCACTCGGCATGACAATTATAATAAGTTTAAAACCAGGTGTTGTGGTGCACACCTGTAATCCAAATACTTGGGAGGTTGGGGCAGGAGGGTCAGGAGTTCAAGGTCAGTCTGGGTTATACAATGAAAAGACAAACCCTGTCTCGAAAAAAAACCCAAAATATACACATACATGTTAATCAATTTAAGTAAATTCAACATTTACACAAATGCATCTCGGTCCTTCCAAACAGTTAATACTCATATAAACTCTGTGAGACACTTCCTGAAGCTACCCTTCTCCTTTGGGAAGGATGTGTCACCTTCTAGACATTTCTTTCATTTAACAGACATGTATCAGCTCTTGCCCAGTGACTACCTAGCTGCTCACACCAGATGTTTCTGAATCTATTGTTTTATTTTATCTTACGTGTGTGAGTTTTTAATCTGCTTTTATGTATGTGCACCATGTGCCTGCAGTGCCCATGGAGGCCAGAAGAGGGCACCAGATCCCCTGGAGCTGGAGTTACAGACATTTGTGCACTGCCATGGGGGTGCTGGGGATTGAATCTGAGTCTTCCTAAAGAACAGCCAGTGCTCTTAACCACCGAGCCACCTCCCTAGCCCTGCACCAGGCACTTCTAGCATTGTGTGCCAGGTGTGTGCCCATCTTGTTGAGATGTTTCCATCCGCCTTGTCATCCGCACAGAAAGTCCTAAGAATTCCACATCCTTGGTGAAGACACACCCACATCAGGCTTGTTCTTAGGACCCTATATCCTGCTCTGCCTGCATCGTCTGCTCTTAGACTGGCTCTGCCCATGGGTTGCCTATGTATCTCTCCCACCTTTCCAGACTGGGACTGGATGGGCAAGGAGCCCTTTGTGGGGGTTTCTGAAGTAGATACGGCGGCTGTCTTTCTTCTGGACCAGATACTTCCTTCCTGAAACTGCCTGAGCTTGAGCCAGGGCCGCACAGGGACTACTGCGTGCAGATTTCTGGCCCCTGAAGGACTGTGCAGCTTTCTCTATTCCTACCAGGGAAGTCATGCCTGCCGTCTGGGGTCCTGCCTCATGTCCTCCCTGGGAAAGTGGGTCTAGAACAGGAATAACTAAGAATAGCTGACATTTATAACTTCTCTCTATCCTGCTCTGGATGCTTCTCACGGCTCAGTTCTGGGAATCCTAAGAATAGCTTGGCAAGGTAGGTGTTGCCTCACTTCCCTTTTTCGGATGAAGAAACTTGGCTCAGAGAGGTGAAGTGACCTAGCCAAAGACACACAGCAGAGTGTAGGGCAAAGCACCAGGCTTCTCTGGGAAGCACCAGGCTTCTCTGGGGAGCACCAGACTTCTCTGGGGAACATCAGGCTTCACTGGGGGAGCATCAGACTTCTCTGGGGAGGGCCAGGCTTCACTGGGGAGCACCAGGTTTCTCTGGGGGAGCATCAGACTTCTCTGGGGAGGACCAGGTTTCTCTGGGGGAGCATCAGGCTTCTCTGAGGAGGACCAAGCTTCACTGGGGAGCACCAGGTTTCACAGATCCTTCCCCTCCAAGCTGGAGCCGGTGTCGGTTTCTCCGGGACTGTGAGACACCAGGTACCTCCCTGGAATAAAGTAGTAACTCCACACTGGTACTGGAGGGAGGGCCCTGTGGACCAGGGGAGGTTCCTCTCAAGCAACACAGGCAGGGAATCGGGATTACTTTGGGGAAGGGAGGATGGAGATATCTCAGTCAAGTCTTACTCTGGGTTCCAGGATTCAGCTCTCCTGGCAACTCTGATACCAGTAGAGTTGGGGTTGGGTGACTGGATTTCCTGTTCCACATGGTGTCTCAGCTACGTCTCGTTCTTTCCAGCCCCTCTCCTGAGGGCCGGACTGCAGAGACCCAGACTCTAATCCAACTTCTCGACCACTGCCACCCAGACACCTGACTGCCATTTACCGCTCACCCTTTAGACCCTGCTGCCCGCTCCCACCCAGATGCCAGCTCCTTCCCCACCCATGGCCTCAGGTCTACTCCTTGCCTTGGGTTTCTGGCTTGAAAGAACCCTCATCACCATGTTTTTTCCAGTTATTTCTGGTTATAGGCTTCATGTTCTAATAAGAATGTATCAAGTCACCAATGGGGCTGCAGCGATGCTGCGGGGGCTTAAGAGCACTTACTGCTCTTGTAGAGGACCCGAGTTCCAATTCCAGCACCGTGTCTGGTGGCTCACAGCTGCCCATAACTGCAGCTCCAGGGCACACAACACTCTCCTTTGGCCTCTTCGGGCACTGCACTCAAATACACCTACACACACAGTGACACGCAGACACATATTTTTGAATAAAGAATCTTAGTATATAATGTAGATACTTAAAAGAAGAGTTTTCTGGCTGACGCCAGAGGGCTGTAAACCAGTTAGTTTTTCCAAGAAGACAGGCTCTGTACCAGGCTCTGAAGTGCTGTGGAAAAATCCTTCTGTATGTTGTGAATATGTATTACTCTTGTTGGTTAATAAAAAACTGACAGGTTGGTTGCCAGGCAGGAAGTATAGGTGGGACAACTAGACACAGAGAATTCTGGGAAGAAGAAGGGCAGAGTCAGAGGAGATGCCAGCCAGCTGCTGAGGAAGTAAGACATAGGGAAAATGAGGTAATAAGCCATGAGCCACGTGGCGAAGCATAAATAGAAATATAGGTTAATTTAAGAGTAAGAGTTAGTTAGTAACAAGCCTGAGCTATCAGCTGAGCACTTATAAATATTAAGCCTCTGTGTTGGTTACTTGGGAGCTAGCAGTCGGGACAGGAAATATCCACCTACACTGAAGTGCCCTGGGTGCCTAAGCTCTCTCTGTTCCCGCCCCCTCTCCTCTCAATACACAGCCTTGTGTCTAATTCCTTACAGGGTTCCTGTTGCCTTCCTCTCCTGGAGAGGCCCTTGCACTTGTCACCTTCTTTCTCTGGGACACTTTCTGCCTGCTCCCTTTCACTTAGTTATCACCTGGGTTCCCTTCGTGGGAGAACTTTCCAAGCCCGCACACCTAGGCTGGAGTCCATTATGCAAACACAAACCCTGTGGAGACCTGTCCTTCCTCCTGACTTCTCTTGCTGTGTGATAGAGTGTGCTTCTTCGGTTCATCACCGCCTGCCCATTGTGCGGCAGGCTTTCGAGGACAAGCATTTGTTGAAAGCCTTAGTGGGATGACGAGCTTGGAAGATCTCTGGCCTGGCCATCCATTTCCCTGATACCGGCTGGGTCTCCACGGACCACTAGGCTGACTGGATTGTGTAAGGGTGAGGGGGCTGTGGACCTCATGCTCTACAGATACAGCAACAGTGCACGTGAGATGAAACTTCCACCATGGGAAGACTTGCGTCCACCTCTTTTCATGACCCAGAGAGGGGCGATTAGCTTGCAGCGCTACCAGTAGCCCACTTCCAAAATGGCAATGACTCTCAGGAAAATGGCCAGTGTCATTAGCAACCGAAGCTCATTCCCTCAGACTCTGTCAACTGAATGGCTGGGCAAGACTGAAGAGAGACAGGAGCAGAAGCCTCCAGAGCGAAACACAGCCGAGAGCCTGCATCTTTTTTTCTACATCATACCCATTTCCATGCGGCAGAGCAGGGCCTGTCCCCATCCATTTAGAACTCTGAGAACTCTGAGATCAGGGTTGGGGGGACCTGAGGCTCGGAGGCAGGATAGGCAGGGCCAGATGAACATAAAAGGAAGAAGGAATCAATTTCCCCACATGGAGCCTGCCTTTTAGGGAAGTTTGGCACATTCGAGGCATTCCTACAACTCTATCCTGGCCAGCTCTCTGGCTCTGAGGATGCTGGGTTCCACATTGGTCCTCTTGTGTGTCTTCCAGGAATTTCTGCAGCCATGATTGACATGAGAGACCCTTACGTATTGGATGTTGGATCAACACCCTTCAAGAAACTGTGAGGAACATTCCAGGCCAAACCACAACATGAATGTGGATAGTGTAGGCTCACAGACTTCGGATCGGGAACGTGGACAAGTTCCCTGATTTCAAAGCCCTGCAGTTCTTTGGAATGGAATCAGATGTTGCTCTGAGAGAGGAGATGGGGAAAAAAGAAAGCCTCCGCAAGGGTACCAGGCAGCCTGGGAGTGCGCCCACTCTCTACAGGGTAAGTACAAAGGCTTCCGCCCCCGGGGAGGCTGCTGGGCCAGGCAGTGTGTCGCTGACATGGAATTATGGTAAATTATCACCAGAGAGTGCCTTCCGCTGTTGTTGCTTGTGTTCGAAATGTCCCGATGAATTCGGAGAGAAGCAGCGTGTTCCCTCAAAGAGGGGGAAACACTCGAATGTTCTGGCCCCGATCAGAACCCACACAGGGAAACGAGTGTTCTGGGAGTACCGCCCCTGCCTCCCGGGGGCGGAGGAGGGATGGATTTAAGCTTCCTGGCTGCTCAGGGAAAGCTCGGTTTCCCCTTTCCTGTTGTGTTGTCTTTTTTCACAATAGAAATCGGCTGATGATCCAGGGAGCAGCGACAATGAATGCACACCTTGCTTTCGGGTGGGGGCAGCGATGCCGCTCACTAGGGAGACAGCTAATGTTACCCTTCCCTCTGTGTCCTTGCCTCACAGATACGCAGTCTTTTGCTCATAGGTATGTGGTGTTTATAGATGCCGGGAGGTGGCTTTTTTTGGACCCCTTTCCTTCTACCCTACTTCCTTTCCTTTCTCCCTCCTTTCCTCCCTCCACCCTCTTTTCATCCCTCTCTCCTTTCCACTCTTGGGTGGGTTCACCAGAAACTAAGTCCGTCTTGTATCAAACACATTTAGTAGTGCCGAATGTCATAATGTAGCCCAGCATACCTTAAACACATGCAGAACACCTAAAAGCAGATTACAGTCCAACGTAATCACCTCACCCAAGGCCTGTGCTGCCGTCTGGCATTGAACACCGTGCACGGACTTCTCACACACTGAAAGCATAAACCAGAAAGATGTGCGGTACAGTCGATGTCGCCAAGCTGACAGACTGGGGGCAGAGCTTCTGTGTGTGGCTAGACATAGATTAATCCAGTTCTGGAGAAGGATAGTTAGGTAGCATGGGTGCCCTGGCTCATTCTACATAACAAGTGCCAAACAGGAGTCCAAAATGAAGGGCATGGTGTCTGCTGTGGGCATTAGACATCGACGGGTGTGGCCATGTTGATTAGCTCTAGGCAATCACAGACATGTGATGAGGGCTTCTGGGATCTGCTAAAACCCACTTCCTTTTCCTCCAGGGCACCAGGCTTTGCTCCATATTCCAGCCTCCCTTGTAACTTTGTACCTGACTGAGTTCTATGGCACAAGGACACACATCTTTGGGGCACTTTCTGGGCCTGGACCCTAACAGCCCCTGTGTGACTCCATTGCCCTTCTCTAGACTTCTAGCTGGATGCCGAGGGATCCCCAGGGAGATCCAGAACCCACAGACCTCACTATTGGGGTCATGTGGGATCGACAGCAGTGTGGTCTCTAGAAGACTCCTTCCCGTGTGACATCTGCCTCACGAGTTGACTTTGGAGCCTCATCTGTGTGTTTTAAGACATCTATGTGTCTAAGATGACCACCCTTTGTGAAGGGGTACCATGATGCAAATGAAGGAGAGTTTCCTTTCTGGCACACACGACCCACACCAATGTCAGCACACAGCTACCTCTGAACAGCTGGGATATGTACTTGACCTCTGGAACCAGGGGGTCAGAGTGAGGCCTGACTGGGTCATCAGAATCCACTCAGTCATGTGTGGGTCAGGCTGAAATGGTGTTTGCCAATGTTATAGCCAGGTGGCTTCAGTCTTCTCAAAATAGAGACAAGATACTGACCCAAAGGTTGTGTTATACACTAGACAGTCTCTCTCTCTCTCTCTCTCTTACACACACACACACACACACACACACACACACACACACACACACACGTCTACTAGCTGGCACACTTAAAAGCTCCAAGAAGCACAGACTGTGACCCCAGTAATGCTTCCTGGTGCTTTTGGTTTTGAAAATGTAGAAAGGAAATGACAAAGGCCACCAGAGGGAAAAGCAGGGCACTGACCCTGGGGGCCTCCAACCCTCCAGCTGTTTCTCACCACAGAGGCTGCCCGCAGGGTGGGAGGTCATGTGCAGGAAAACATCAGCTCCCCAACCCTCACCACACCCCGCATCCTAACATCACCTCTCGACATTGCCCCTGTACAAGTCCACTCTCCTAAACCGGAGGCCTACTCGCTTAGACCACCCCAAAGCTACAGCCGTGGATGTTAACTATGAAGGTTCTAGAAGATGAACGAAAGTGGGCGGCTTCCTACCACGGTGAAGTAGAAGGAGCAGGCCGTGTGAGCAGGGCTGTTTGTAAGACTTTGCTGTGTCTGCTCTGGTTTTCTTTTCCTTTCTTTCTTTTGTTTAGCTTTCTTTAGCAAAACCCCTCACGTTTCTGGTGTGAAGGACGGAGAGAGAGCAGACGGGAAGCGAGGGAAGAATTCCTGAGAGGAGACAGGGAGGGGAAGGTGCCACGTTCTGTGCACTGACTGCTTAAGTCTTAGGCTCATTTCAAAGCCTCGTGCGTCTGACGGAGAGTCGATGGTAGCAGCTGAGCTAAAGATAGAACTGAATTGGGAGTTGGGCTGCCGAGGAAAAGGCAGAGCTTGGGTGGAGTCCAACCCAATCGATTGCCAACGAAAACAAAAATTAACACTCTTCAAAGGAATATAACAAATTCTTAAGTTTGTGCAATATACTCTGAGCTGTGCCCAGGACACCACGAACATCCCCCACAGTGTCAGGAAGGCTGGGGAGCACCAACTGCCCAAGTACAGGACCCGTTGGAGTTCCAGAAAGAGCTGGGTGCAGAGACAAGTACATGTGAGCTTGGTGCTGGGGGGGTGGGGCCAGGAAGATCCTGGGGCTTGCTAGTCAGGCAATCTGGCCAATCAATGGTGAGCTCCAGGGTCAGTGAGAAACTATCTCTAAAAATGACGTCGCCTTCACACGCACCTGGGTACACATGCATGTTTATCCCCCCAAGTGATTCTCTCTCTCTCTCTCTCTCTCTCTCTCTCTCTCTCTCTCTCTCTCTCACACACACACACACACACACACACACACACACAGAGCACATGAAATGACATTGAACCAGCAGGCATCCCAAGGCAGCCCAGATGTTAAAAGCTGCTTAAGGAAGCTGCTTCAACTGTGATTAATAAATACCGTGAAAAGCCAGTGGGGAGACACACGTCATTATTGAATACAAGAGCATAAAAATGGGTGCCAAGTCTACACTAGAAAACAGGACCTAAACCCACTGTGTGAGTTAAAAGCAACAGGGAGATGGCAGAAAAGGGGGTGGCAGTCCTGAGAACAAATCCACAGGGGTTTTCCAACCTGAACCAGCGAGGCTGAAAAGGACCCCGAGAGATGGACCACACCTGGATCTGGAGCCAAGGAATAGAAGAACCCACAGGGGAAGGAGGAAAATCTAAATGTATGATGGCCGAAACTGTCCCATTTGGTGAAATAAACACATTTATAGTCTCAGGTTAGTCAAATTCTAATCATGGTAAATATGAAGTCTTCCAGAGCATAGTGTGGTCAAAGTTCTAAGAGCAGAGACAAAAATCTGGAAGCATGAACTGAAGTCAGCAACACAGTAGGTGCGGAATGAGTCACACATACAGACCGTGTGTGCTGCGGTGTGAGTGTGTCCATGTGCTTGTCCTGTAGACTATAGAACTTAGTGGGCTAGTGGCTTTGAGGTGCTAAAAGAAAAAGTCAAAACTAAATTTATATCCAGCTAAAATATCTTCCAAGAGTAAAAGTGAAATAAGGACAATTCTGGAAAAGTCACAGAACACATTTATCGCCCAGCACTGAAGGAAGTCTTTAAGCTGAAGGGGAAGTGTGAGCACATTGCAAGGAATCAATATTTACATTCAAGTAAGCAATTCTCATTTTTCTAATTATCTTTAAGGTATACAGGATCACTTTCATTCTTTTTACCTGTCTGTCTGTCTATCTATCTATCTATCTATCTATCTATCTATCTATCTATCTATC